ACGATGCCAGCACAGCGGCACATGACCAAGGTAGTTTAAAACTACACAAAGGTATGGTGCATGGACGAACCGTATCAGTCCTGAGAGATAGCGGCGCCACGATATCAGGAATTCGCCAGGCATTAGTGAGACCAGAAGAACTGACACATAAGTTTATAAAATGTAGAACTTTTGGTGGCACAATAGAAACATACAGACTAGGTTACATTTGTGTGTCAACACCATTTTTAACAAAGAGTATTTATGTTGCCATGTTACCATCACCGAGTGCAGATTTGATCATATGTAACAGGAAAGACGAAGAAAACATATCTGAGGAAGACATCACTAAATGGGAGGCAGAAAACATACCAGTCATCAAAGAGAATAGGGTGAATGATGTGACTCCAATCCCCACATCAAGGGTGAAAGTAATGAGAGAAAAACAACTGAATGAGAGCAAAGGAGTAAATGATGTGACTCCAAACCCCACATTCACTGTGGAAGAAATGAAAGATAAATGTTGGAACGAAAATAATAGTATGAATGACTTGAATGAAAGCATAGAGACTGGAAGTGTCCAGAACATAACAGAAAGTGATAAAGTAAAAGGTATACATGAGAGAATGGCAGTAATGACAAGTTTAACTGCAGAAGAACAAATGATGAGAAAAAGCAATGAGAAGACTGAAAGGAAGAAGGGTAATAGTATGAAAGACAGGTATCCAAATCCCAAACCCAGTATGCAAGATCATGTACAGAAAAAAACAGAGGAAAATGTATTTTAAAAAGATTATTCTGAGCATCAATGGGCAAAATCAAAGTCAAGAAATACACGACTGTAAAATTAACAGTTTTATTCAATGTACTTGCAATCAAAAGTCTTACAGGTTTTTGGAACCAGAAGAAGAAACAAAAAAGACCAAGAACAGGTTGTTGGGCAACCAAAGGTAATCACGACCCAAGAGACCTAAGTCGAGCACAGCAAGACAACTGCTCACAGCGTTTGTTCCAGTACGTGTGGTTACTACAACACATATTGTTCATCATATGCCAATTTCTATTTGTAACAGGTGAAATGAATCTACAACTATTCTATACTTTCAACATGATTCATGATCTACAACTTTTAGGAATGATCTATCCAGTTCGCAGAGGTTTTTTCATCTCAAAATTATATATCTCTACAGAAATTTGTCAAATTCTGAAATGTGGTACACTATTAGCATTAGTGATTCTGAAACTATTACTTTTTGATCAGGTCTATTTCAAACACTTTCCTCATTCTGAAACTTTGAATTGTTGAAACCAGTTTTAATTTGCCATGAATTTTAATAAGATGACTTGTTTGACGGTTGGTGAATGTGAATACCACCTTGCAGCATACATCTAGTACAAAAGTATTTATTACTGATGAATTGCAGAATTGAGTAACATCTATGTTGTAAAATAAATCATGTCAACATTTTGAAACAATATTTTAAAATATGAATCATCAAAAACTATTGCAGATCTAAATGAATCTTTTACAGATGCAGACTTTATTTTTCAGTTTTATATTGGTCACAAAAACTAACATCTACACAGCAGAAGTACAGCACATTTGAGAAAGAAGCATTAGCATTAGTTCTGAGTCTGAAGAAATTTCAAAAATATTTATTAGGGAAAGAATTCACTATCTTAACTGACAATTTAGGTCTTACTAAATTGATGACCATGGAGTCAACAAACAACGCTAGAGTGTACAGATGGGCTTTATTGATTGCACAGTTTAAATTTAAAATACAGCACATCAAAGGCATCCATAATCACCTGCCTGATGTAATGTCAAGATTGTAGGTCTTATTATAGTATGTATGTTGTGATTGTCTGAAATGTTATTGTTGATCGACACATGATTTTTATATATGTATATATATTTTGTATAAATTGTATATATATCATGTCATTGTGACAAATACTGGACATAAGACATAAGGTGACGTGACGAAATAGTTAGAATTAGATATGAATATTTATTAAATATAAAATGTAAACAATATTTCGAAATTATTAATGTAAAAGTTGTGACGATTAAATATGCTATTTAATGTTTTGAATATATATCACTAAACAATTGAAATGTATACAGGAAATTTAAGTGATACATTGTAATATTTTTGAAAACGTAAAGGGAGATAATTATTAGAAATGTAATAGACTGGTGGGAAATCACTATAGGTAGGGGAGATAAAATCCATATCACCTATAAGGGGAAATAAATGAATATCCAATGGAAATAACATCAGTGGATGTTCGGTGAGTATAGTGGCAAGGGTGGGACTTTACGGGTTTACATTATTGTTCCATAGCCGTTATGGATTTCCGCACTTGGAAGAGTAGTGCCTGGGGTGATTTTCTGTCGTTTGACAGACTGTGGGATGAGGTGGGAAACGCGTAGAGCCTTTATGGTCTTCCGCAATTGAAAGAGTATTGCCTGGGGTGTTGATTCCATTACGCCACATAATACTCACTGGGCATGACAACTGACAAAGTTCCAAAGGAAAAACATGAATTACCCAAAAGGGGTGGAATAAATTTTTTACCCATGATACCAGTGAAAATACCCAAACATTACATAATATATACTCCTATCCATTAACGATAATGAAAAAAAAAAAAAAAGTAAACTTTTTTTTTTATACGGGGAAGGGAGAATGTAATGGGGGATATTTTCCACTCAGTTTAGGATGGTTGGGGGGAAGCCCCAAAGCTGACCAAAAACACTGTGATAGTCCAAATACTTGGATTAAACGAGAATCTGGAGATAGGTGACTAACCACTAGTTATCACGGGGACCACGGTGATGCGACCCAAGGTCGCCACGGGAAAAGTAAAGGACCACCACGTGTTGTCACGTGAAAGGAACCCGTGGTATAAGTCAGACTTGACTCTGGTCAAGTTTAGTTTTGTGTCGACCTGTTGGAGCGAGAGGACGAGCGATTGAATGTACGAATGTCTACGTGAGTGCCTGAGGAGAAAGGAGACCTGCCGACGAAATGTTAAGCTGAGATCGACCATGCCAGCGTGTGAGATGTCCAAACGTCAGTGTTGAATCCATGGGACCCATCGCTGCTTGAATGCCTGCAGAAGACTATTCGTTAAAGGCTGCGTGAGTTTGTGTACGAAAGCGGTTCAATTAGACATCGACTGGACGATTCTCTTTTGTCGTAAGTTTTAATACGTCAATAAAGTAATGTCTCGTAAGCTCACATCGGTGTCGGCTTGTGCCAGGTGTGTAAAGTGAAGCGTGTCAGAATATCATCCACCACACACGCATGAACACCGCCTAGACAACGAGTAGAAATACAAACCCATTCATTACACTTTTGATTACAGTTGTTATATTTGTCACAAGTGTCTTCACATGTTGGGTTCCAAAGGTCCCATTCTGGGGGTTAATTGACTGACTGTACTTCCTGTCGAGTGCATGCTTCTATACACATCACATAGACACTTATGGATGTTCGCAACAAAACAGTTTCCTTATCTGCAGCAAGAAATTATGTCACAATTCACTGCTTCTAATGCGAGTTGCTAATGGGTCTCAATTTCAGCAGTTTAAGGCGGCCATATTATTTATCAGATCGTGGTGGAATTTGGTATCCACAATCAGCACGTGCCGCATTTGAAGTTTGCACCATTTGTTTTTCTATCTCCATTTTTAGCTGAGAAAAACTGTAGTGATTCCCAGTCTCTTCCACATTGCAACTCTCATACCGTTTTTTTCCAAATAAATCCCCCACAACAGAAATCGAATCCAGCACCCAAGAATCAGGAAATTATTTAAAAAAATTGTACGAATGCTCGCACCCAAGAATCAGGAAATTATTGAACATACTCACTTACCTGTATGCCACAGAGCTGCAGACTTCTTTTGTGGAATGGGTGAGTTATAAGTTGGGTTATCTTCACAGCATGCTGGACACATCCATATATGTTCAGATCCTCCTTTAACATATGCATCGGCATCCTGTGGTTAGTAGTGCCAGTCCTGTGCTGGTTAACAAGACTTCTTATACATATGTTGTGCATCTCTTGCTTGGCTGTGCCGATCTTTACTCCCAATTCTCATATTCTTTACAGCGATGTGAACATGCCGCTCCCAAAATCCGCAGATTATCCTATTTCTCTAAGGGAATTAACAACGTCAGGGCAATCCATAGGTCAGCCATTCTGCAGGTAAGGCAGAATCCACCAGTCTATCAGCTTTTTATTTTCCAACACCTGCATACTCAGGGACAAAGATGAAGGTAACTGCATGCACAGGGGAGTTTCGCAATGACTCATTCCACTGTGTACAGAGCCTGCCTCAACCTGCCTCATGCTCATAAAATCTCTTAGCACACACGCTTGCAAATCTTGTGGTTCCAGCCACATAACTTTTGTCACTCCCGTCACCTCCGTCATCATGCTGGTAGTCCTAGAGAAGGAACCACTGGCTTCCTGGACTATTCTACCTGCAGTGTGAGCTATGAATGCCCATGCACTCTTGGGTCCTCATACAATGAACTTGTCTGTGTAGCTCAGCACATCTGCCTCATCTGAACTATCATGATAATAACCTGGTGCTGACAGCAACAGGATTCTGCTCCGGACAACTCCTGTCAAGTGTGGTGACACAGGAGAAGATGCACTTGACCACTTTAGGCACATGTATCCATTCCTCACCATGGTAGATGTCTGTAAGACTGCAGACCTGCTTGATATCGCCTATGCCTTACCCAGCCATGCTTTGTCCCCTTTTTAGTCTGTTATCCTTTTTTTCTCCTGAATGGCATGCGGTGTAGAAGGGGCTTCATATCCGAGCTTATCTTCGGTTATACGTGAGCCTTCAAAATCTTGATCCTGTAGTTCATGGTTCATATGGGATGGGTAAAACAAGGAGCTTGTAATTGGTTTCACTAAATTGATTTTCTTTGCTGAATTAGCTATCCTGTTTGTTATATTTCTTCTATTTGTTGTTGTTGTTCATGTTTCAGAATCCTGAAGGTGGGTGTTGCTATTATTGATGATGGTAAAAGACTGTACAAAGATTATGGGATTAGCCTTCATGGCTGTGTTGACTTGAGGCATGTCTTGAAACGACTGAGAGGAGCTTATCACTGGTGAGAAAGCCGTTTCATTACAGTTGTTATACTTATCAGATGTGTCTTCACCGGGAAGGTTCCGGAGGTCCCATTTTGGGGCTTTAAAAAAAAAAATGACACACTTCATTCCAACAAATGTTTCATAAAAGTCGACTAACTAAGAGTTTGCTTAAATCACTTTCATTGGGACAAAGGGCATGGATATTTCTTTTTGAGAGTGAATGCAGAAGAAAGTCAAATTTGCACCTGTTGAAGTAATATATTAAATGCTGACTACTTATAAAACGAGTAGTGCTTATCGTGCTGTGTTTTACTGATTTGGGTGCATACAAATTCTAGAAATTGCTGTTAATTCAAGACAAATGAATGATCTGATGTATACTCTACTTTTCTGATTTATTTAACTTTCCTAACATGATTGTATTATGTTTTAAAGCAGGAATAGTTATCTGTTATAAAGACATCTATCAGATAAAGTACTTAGCTTACATGTTACAGATTTAGATGAAACAAAGGTCGTCCTAAATGTTTTATTACAATCTTGTCAAAGTTATATTAGCAAGCAGCAGAACTAATCAAGGTAGGCGTAGGAGGGATGCAGTTAGAGTTGTCAGAAAAAGAGCCATAGGCATTCAGAAATACATCCCACTGTTTGCAAAGACTAGACAGCCGATACCTTGAAGATAATATAGCTTTTATATATTTAATGTGTTGCTTCATTAATTTGCTTTCATGTATTTTATAGGATGCCTCTATTTGCCATTTCAGCTGCCTGTGAGTTACATACTGCTAGTACCTTATTAAATAATAAACATATTTTTTCTTTTTTTTAGTCCATCTAGAGGTCTTAGAGGACTTGCAAATGGCATTCTTGGTGTTGACATCAGCAAGAATAATAGTGTGCGCTGTGGAAACTGGGAGGCTGAAACTTATTCACAGCAGCAGGTGAAAAGATAACTTTAACTGTTAATATTACCCGTCACTGCCACTGTTATTAATAGTGTATAGTTAATCAAGTTCAGGAAATTAAACGGAGCCAAAACCTTGTGGGCATGTTATGAAAATAAATGCATGTTGAAAACTGGAGAATTTTATGGAAAAAGAGCAAGGAGAAGACAGAGACACACCTGGATGGCTTGACCTCATTCATAATTGTTGAAGGTCCTTGTTTATATGCACATATCAACATTGCACATAATGATCATAGTTGACCATACTCTGTGTTAAGTAATTAAGAAGGAGTTGGCTGAATGATTTAGGCAATGAGTATCTCCAATCTAAAGTCATACACCTTCTAATCTCACACGGCACAAGTGTTTACCAACCAGAGAGAGATCGTAAATATCCAGACTGCTTATGGTATTATGCTAGAGAGGCTGAGTTACCGTTGAACCTTGGCCTCCAAAACCTCTTGGCAAAACCAACAGTTGTAAAAGAAAACAATAATTTTGTAAATTTTTTATTAAAACCCTAATTAGGTAGAAGGAGTCACCATGGTGTAGCGACTAGACCCTCACCTGCGGATCAGAAGGTTGTGGGTTTGGGTTCTGACAGCCAGACTTCTTTTCAAAAATGACCTTGGTTCCTAGGTCAAACCAGCCTTGAGTGAGTGCTGATTGATCTATAAGATACAGGTCAAGCCCTATATGTGCCAGTTCGCATGAAGGCGTGGAAAAGGGTCCTTTACTTTTACTTAATAATGTAACATTTTACATTGCTCATCAGGGCTCACACAACCTTTATTATGGTATCTGTGTTTACATTTTATTTGGGCCTTTGGTCTTGGGACATTTTGTCATCATTATCAAGTACTTTGCTGGCTGGCATAGGTGATCATGTCACCCCCTTGCACAACCTGAAGTCAAGAATCTTCTCCCATTCTCTTTCTCCATCTCTCTTTCCTCTAATCTTTCCAGTAGTCACAGCTTGTTCGCTTTCCATGGCCAAAGAAGTTACGAGTCCCTTTCTTATGTCTGCGGTAAGTTGGCTTCAGGCCTTCACCTCTTTCAAAACATGGATGCTGCTCATTCTGGTTGGTACATTTCAGTTTTGGATTTGGTTTCAGTTAAAGTTAGAAAGAGTTTTGATAACTCTCAGTCATTTCTTTTTTCCCTCCACATTAGGTCCTGGAACCTACATTGGGGAGTTGTTTCTATAATGTGTATGCTAAGTTAGCACATTTCATCTCTTTTCTTGGAAGCTTATTGGCCCCAAGAACATACAGGTCTATTTTTTATATACTTCATATAATCAGCGAAAAACATGTAGAGGTCAGAGCCATCTTAACAGCATTATGGTCGCCTGGACAAAGAAGTGTGTTGGAGCCCCTATGACAACCACTCACAGGAATAAGATTAGCTTTTATGGCAAGCTATTGACATACACAGATTAGCTTGGGGCCCATTATCAAGTGCACAGCAGGCCAGTGTGTTCAGACAGCCCTGATAATGGTACCTGTTCCATCAGTTTTTATTCATTGTTGTTTTTAAGAACGGAGAGACAGCTTGCAAATAGAGTGGCCGAGCATATACCTAAACGGCTGCATGCATAGTTCAGTGATTCTTTGAAGGTGCCGAGATCAATCAAGATGAAAATTCTACTTCTTCTATAAGACGTCATTTGCATAATTTCTGATACTTTATAGACAAGGACAGTGCTTTCTGTATGGTTTACCACATACCAAACAGAATTGCCGAAGTTTCAACAATTAAAATCAGCACCCCTTCCTTTGTAAGCAGATGGAATTTATAGTAATTTAAAGTTACTTTGGTAAATGACATGACTACAGTAAACTTCTGGCGACTAGACAGGCACGATGCATCAAAGAAAACCATTCGCATTTCAGTAGGATTTATTCAGCTTTCTGTGTGCTTTATTTTATGTTGATGTAACTCTAGTAATGCAGCTGATGAGATTCAGCAAAATATGCCTGGCAATAATTGTGCAATGTATTGTTTGTGTCCGCATTATTTAAACTAGTAAATTTTTTATTTATGCTGCAGGAAGAATATGCGGCTACAGATGCAGCGGTTGCTGTTGACATCTTTTTATCCATGGTCTTCAGAAAGATGAAACTACCTGCCTACAGTAATGTTGACTACAAGAACAAGCAACATTCAGAATTGTCAGCTGCACCTAGCTCATTAAGTGTTGTAGATTTATTCCATGACATCTCAGAAGAATCTGTGAGAGAGCACCTTCATTCAGAAGGCTTATTATACCAGAACAGTAAACATTTTCCAACGGAGATGTTTGACATGCTAGAAGATGATGAGAAGGAGAACATTTGGAAGTATGCTCGTTCTTTGTGCCAAGGAATTGTGGAAGCAGCCTATGCCCATCAGTTACAGGGAGGTAACTTGGTAAGTTCTTCCTCCTTCGGTGACCATTTTTACTTTTTTGATCTCTTGATTGTAGTAAAAATTATAATTAAAAATGACTTTTTTCATGCTATTAATGCTTCGAGCATCTAATGCTAGACCCTATTTTTATAGACCAATCGGTCCTCAATGGTGATGTATTCATCTGCATTTCCTGTAACCCATTTTAGGCTAAGTAGACTTAGGAGCCCAGGTTCAGTTATAAACATCCATACCAATACAGATTCAACATAGACTGCATTGGTTTAAATAATATGACCTATCACTAATCTGAGAAAGTTGTTTATGATGAACTATTTCACATCCACAATACTGTTCTAAATGATTCTTGTGAGTTCCCTGGATCAAGGGCCTTATGTGGAGATGGCACCTGATTATCAGTTCCCCCCAAAAACATGAATGTACAATCATATCTCCAACATGCCATAACAGCATATCAATGGGATAGATATTTATTTTCACATTATTCTTCGCTGTTTAGTTGTTATTAACCTCATACTGTGAATGTCATGGGTTTGTTTCATGGACTGTTGTTTGGTTTACAAGAATATTTTTTGTTGTCCTTTATTTTGTTTTTGAAATCCCTGTAGATCGTCACTGAAGCAATGAAATTTATCTTCTTGTGAAACTTGCGGCAGATTGCTAGCCATTTTTCAGAGGGAGGCTGGGTCATATGGGGTAAAATCCAGTGGAATGAAATCCATCCTGTGAACTTCAAACTTTATATGTAATATTTCCTGTAACTAAATGCCTAACACTTCCATGACAGCGTTCAGTGCCAAAACAAGGAGGAAAACCCAAGAACAATGCATATAGCTGCAGAAAGAGACCTTTATGGGATAACTGCCGACTACAGGCCCCAGACGGTTGCTTGTTGTGTACTTGTGATCTCAAGAAAGCCCAGTGGTACCTGGACAAGGAACTCGGAGGTAGGCAATGAAGCCATTAACATATCTCTCTATGTTCCTGGGTCTTTTACAAACTTCATTCAGCTTTGATTCCTAACCCCCCCCCCCCCCCCCCCCCCCCCCCCCCCCCCCCCCCCCCCCCCCCCCCCTTAAAAAAAAACAGTCTTAAAATACTTGGATGGTGGTCTCCTAAGCTATCCATGAGATTCTTAACCTTATGTGTAAAATCCACATCTGTGTGACCTCAATTTATTTATGTATTTTTCAAATTCGATGTCAATGATTCAGTGGCATTCGCTAGTATTGACAGTATGTTACTTCCATAAGCATGTTTTTCTAAAGTCCATGGACAGGGGACTAACTGTAATACAGAAAATTTCTTCTTCTGATGGAATTCTGCCCTTGCTTAAATTATTTATTCTTCATGTTATCACTGTTTTATATGGTTGATGAATGCTAATATACTGTCCAAGAATAATAAGGTGTATGTGCATGTATATGTGTGTGATCTATATGTATTTTAGCATAGCAATTGATTAAATTAGTTACTAGAAACAAATATAAGGCTCATTTGCTGTTGGAAAAGTGGTCTAGTTTCAGTCCTCAGAATTGACTAACCAGCTCATCTCATAGTTGGTGGCCTAGAATATGTTAAGATCTAACACTTCACATCCTAACCACATTATTTGAAAAGGGGTTACCTTTAACTTGATTGTAAGAAAAGTTTCCCTTGTGGGTTCCGATGCCTCGTGTGGGGGGGGGGGGGGGGGGGGGGAGCAGTGCCCCTTAACTGCATGTGATAATAATAGATAATGTATGTGCTGTTTCCACATTGAAGGTTGGCTGCAGTGTACCATCGTTGTCTTTGAGAATATTACATGATAAGGTCCCAATTTCTTCCATGGTGCGACTCTCATGCTATTGTCCGGAAATCATGATACATTTTTTTTTAAACCGCTCACCACAGGGAACAAACCCTAGCACTCGTGGGTCATAAAATTGTTAACTGCATTCGCTAACCTCATAGCCGCACACCAGATGAATGTCATAAAAAGCAACAACTTTATGATTTTGTGAAATTGGGTGTCTTTGGCTGAAAGATGCATATATTGCAGCTGTAAACCACAAACAACATCCAGCCACCCTTTTAAGCGAAGAAGAAGATAATTTACTGGCTTTAATGTAAAAAATATACTCTTTTGCAGATATAGTTTGTGAAAGCCCCTTCACTGTCCGTCTTCGATTCGAGCCATCAAGCAGGCCGGAGTCTGAGAGAAATTACTACCTCCATGAGAAGCAGAATGTCTGTGTTGTTTGTGGATATGACAAAGATTATGTGCGCAAATTTATAGTCCCATTCGAATATAGAAAGTAAGTTGTGTCTGTGCGCATTTATTCAGTGTCCTCTTGTAATCTGCTGCAGTTTTTTTTATCTCAGCACAGGCTGCTGTTGCACGCGGCTAATATGTTTGCCTGCTGATCCTATAGTTGAAGGTTTGAATCTATTTTGTGGCTTTTTAAAATTTTCATAAGCTCATGACAGCAGGTGAGTTGGCGGGGAAGAGAGGAAGAGGAGGACCAAGAGAGAAGATGTTGGACAGTTTAGCATCATGACAGGGAATTGAAGACCAAATGTATCCAAGATTATTGACAGTACATGAGATAGAGTTGAACTGCAGTGGTGTAGGAGCTAGATGCTCACCTGTTGATCTGAAGGTCATGGGTTGAAATCTGGACAGGGCTGGACTTTTTTTCAAAATTGATCTAGGCTCCCATGTCGATCCGGCCTTAAATGGGTACCAGGTAAAAGTCAAGGGGGGGTAAAGACGGCTGATGTGATGCTGACCACATCACCTACCAAGTGCCGATTGGTCTATAGGGTATAGGTGTCGTGCCCTAATTATAACTTCTTGAACGAGGTATCTGACATGTGCACTATTGGATTGCCATTCATGATGTGGTTGTTGAAGTTGCAAGGTGTTCAGCCCTTCAGGTAGCAATCCCAGAGGGGTAACACACAGACATACTGGATATTATCTGTATTCACTTGTCTTTATGTTCTTGCTTTCATTTGCTAGATTTTTCCCAAGTGCTTTGAAGGATCACAGTTCCCATGATGTTCTTCTACTGTGCACTGCTTGTCATAGAAAGAGCAGTGATTCTGATGTAATTATGCGACTACAGTTAGCTGAAGAATGTAATGCACCTTTGGACTCGGGGCCTACCTCCAAAATATTCTTGGACCATGAGCTGCAGAAAGTTAGATCGGCAGGACGGTAATATTTTTATATAGACAAGTTATATTTTCTTTAACAGAGCCTTTGATATTAATGTTGCACTTGAACTCATCCTTGCAAGTTTGTGTATTAAACCATCCAAAAACGGTTATCATATGCTGGCTTAATTCCATAATTTTAATTTTTTTTTTATGAAATGGTTTTTAAAAATCTATGTCTATGTTTGATTTTTTGTTTTTGGTAATTTGCTTTCTTCTAGATGTTAATAATACTTAGCTTTTTTCTTTTTGACTGACACATTTGTATTATGCCTGGCCACCAGATGTTTGTCAAATGACCATCCTCACTGCAACTCTAAAAATAAGTTCATAGGTACTCGGATGCCCTCCTAAGTATATTTCTCAACAGAGCTGAGAGGTGGATCATAAAAATTATGTGCTGTGCTGGTTTATTATAGATAAACACAAAGGGGGTCTATGTGGCAAAGTAGACAAGCCGATTACCTCATGCTGTGAAGGTCGTGGGTTCTTTTCACAGCGGCGCCTTTCGGTTCACAAGTGCAGTTTTTATGGAGACCTCTGAGGATTGTCATCAGAGCTACAGAGCTCATGCTTTTTGTGACACTCTCAGCAGGCGGCTAGCAATTCTGCAGAGAGAGACCTAGCTATAGGGGATAAAACCAAATGCAATGAGGTTGATCCTCTCACCTTTAACCTATAAAATATACACTGGAATGGTAAAATTTTTCTTATCTGTCAAACCCATCCGTCTGCACACAAAATAAAATAAGTGAACACAATGTATGACTCTGAAGTTCATTGAAAGGAAAGAAAAGACACATACACATAAATGTTTTTTTGACCAGTCTTTAACAATGAACGAAACAACGAGAATGCTTAATTAACACAGTCCCACAGAAAAGTAATTTTCTTCATGAAAAACATTCATAACAGTTTAAGCCATTTTGTTTTTGGTGACATCTGCACAACATTGTCAGATTAATTAATAATGGCAAGTGTCCTTAAAAGTTTTCTTTTCTTTTTTTTAAATGGTGCCAATGGGGCATCAGGAATATGGTTCCAAATTCATATGTTTATAGGACAGAAGACACCATTAGGTTAGTGAGGTCTATATAATGCTAGGACACATTATGAGAAGGAATGGTCTCAAGAACTTGATAACAAATAGCAAGAATGAGGGAAAGAGAGCAAGAGGAAGGCAAAGAGAGAAATACTTGGATGGCCTGGCCAGATGGGTGGGGCGTGACACAAACATTGAACAGATCTGTGATTTTGGTAATCCGATGAGGTGACATAACGTGACAGCCTACGCTTACCGGCACGGCGGCACATGATGATAAAAATCATGCCAGTCATTTTTAGTTTCCAGGAAATCTTCTGGTGCCTATTTTAGGCTGGATCAAGCCGGGAGCCTTAGGTCAATTATAAAAATTCACTTCTTTTCATTTTGAGTCTTTAAATATTGTCATTTCCTGAGCCAGCAGCGGTCGGAAAATGACTGCTATAAAGTAGACCAAATAAACCAAGTGAATACTACCACATTATTATCCTAAGAAACTTCTCATGGAAGCTTAAAAAAAAGAAAAACTCAAAGATCTGGTGGAGGGGCAGGGGCTGACCAGCACGAAGATGGGCACACAATATAAGTGACTCCTTGGAAATGAAAGTGCACGAGACAGGAGAGCTGACGAGAGACGGGGTTTCTTTCAGGTAGACCGTGACGAGAGCTATGTTCTGCAAAGAACCTGCTGTATGATGATGATGATAAGACCAAAGTTATTTTCACAATTGAAATATCAGTATGTTTCTTTATTAGGGCCTTGTTGACAAGCAAAAATTCTATGCCTGAGGAAAGAGTTATTGAACTTGAAAGATGTCTGCAAGATTTTTATGGTGTTGAAAGTGTCACAGAAGAACTGATCAAAGAGGCAGCAGCTACCAGTCCCAAGTGAGTGGTATATTATCTTTTGAGCTGTTTTGTTTTCTCTGAAAATATATTTTTGATTCCCCCACATTTGTCACTTTCAGATCTGCTGGTATGGATGTTCCTGCCTTTCTATAGTCTTCATTTCTTATTGAGTAAAGTACCCTTTTCACACAAGTGGCGTATCGGGTATATGCTGCTAGACTTGTATTTTTGTAGACCAGTCGGCACTCAATGGGTGATGTGGTTTACATCATGCTGGCTGCCTTAACTGCCCTGGACTCTGCCCCAGTACCTATTTTAAGCTGGTCGACCTGGGAGCCGAAGTCATTTAGCAGTGAGAGGAAGAGTGTTAAAATGCTTTGAAGAACCTGTGTTGTTATATGCATGTGAAACATGGACAATAAGTAAAAAAATAAAAAAAAACGCCAAAAACCAATTACTCACAGCAGAGATGAGGTTTCTGAGAAGAATGTCTTGGAAGGATAGAAAAGCTATGACTGGGTTTAAACCCTAGGCCAGCTGGCGAGTATCTAGCCACTACCCTACCGCAGATCCCTAATTTCCTAGCACTGTTTATCAATTGTTATCTTGGAATCATTCCAGACTGTCACTGTAGCTTCTGTCCTCCATTTCTCTTTTTATGTTTTTTGCCAGAGTTTTCCGGGAACTGTCTTGGAAGGAATTGTGACAAGAAAGGGAAGTGGCCACCTTATCTCATATGTATAGAATATCTCATATATATAGAATATGCCTAGAATATTTAGAGGCATAACACTTCACATCTCAACAGAAGTATCTACAATGGGAAACCCTTTACCAGTTGTTAACAAAGTGTTCGTGTCATTGCTCTCTTGCCTGTTGAAAATGTTGAAATAGTTCTTTCTGCACTCTTTTGCCTCTTTTTCTGTCAACTTCACCGGTTGTTACAATATACCTCTTCTGTCAAGAACTAGATTATGTAGAGGCCCAGCACCACACCTCAGTTGCTTCATCTGTTATAGAGCTACTTTTACTTTTTGCAAAATGTTATTTTTGTGTGTGTGTGTGTTGTTTTATAAGATGGTTAAAGATTTCTGTTTCCTGTGAACTGCAAAGGAGCCAAGTTAAACATTGAGAAGAAATATCCTAGTCCTATGCCCTGTATGGGTTCTGGGGCACCACTGTGGGGTAAAACAGAACAGACCCACTGCCCCCCGACTAGCATGTTGTAAAAGGCAACTAATTGGGAGGTTGCTGAAACTGGAAATGTTGGGTCGAAAAGTGCAAATATTGCAGTGTAGCTGTAAACACACAACATGCCAACTGTTTTTTGAAAGGTGAAAACACACAAGAAGCCGAATGTATATTTTAAAATATAATAAACTGGATTGAGAAAAAAAATTTGATATTCAGAAATATGAAAACAATGTGTATTAGGGAATTCATAGTGTGGACACTGTTAGGCTAAAATAACAAGAAAAAAGCATGCAGCATGGTCAAACAATTTGTAGGGTAGTTTGGTCAAACCATTTGTAGTGTAGCATGGTCAAACAATTTGTAGGGTAGTTTGATCAAACCATTTGTAGTGAAGCATGGTCAAACAATTTGTAGGGTAGTTTGATCAAACCATTTGTAGTGTAGCATGGTCAAATCATTTGTAGGGCAGCATGGTCAAACCATTTATAGGGTAGCGTGGGCAAATCATTTATAGGGTAGCATGGCCAAATCACTTGTAGGGCAGCATGGTCAAATCACTTGTAGGGTAGCATGGTCAAATCATTTGTAGGTTAGCATGGTCGAATCATTTGTAGGGTAGCATGGTCAAACCATTTATAGGGTAGCATGGTCAAATCATTTGTAGGGCAGCATGGTCAAACCATTTATAGGGTAGCGTGGGCAAATCATTTATAGGGTAGCATGGCCAAATCACTTGTAGGGCAGCATGGTCAAATCACTTGTAGGGTAGCATGGTCAAATCATTTGTAGGTTAGCATGGTCAAACCATTTGTAGGTTAGCATGGTCAAACCATTTATAGGGTAGCATGGGCAAATCATTTGTAGGGCAGCATGGTCAAATCACTTGTAGGGTAGCATGGTCAAACCATTTGTAGGTTAGCATGGTCAAATCATTTGTAGGTTAGCATGGTCGAATCATTTGTAGGGTAGCATGGTCAAACCATTTGTAGGGTAGCATGGTCAAATCACTTGTAGGGCAGCATGGTCAAACCATTTATAGGGCAGCATGGTCAAATCACTTGTAGGTTAGCATGGTCAAATCACTTGTAGGGTAGCATGGTCAAATCATTTGTAGGTTAGCATGGTCAAACCATTTGTAGGGTAGCATGGTCAAACCATTTGTAGGGTAGCATAGTCAAATCATTTGTAGGTTAGCATGGTCAAACCATTTATAGGGTAGCATGGTCAAACCATTTGTAGGGTAGCATGGTCAAATCAGTTGTAGGGTAGCATGGTCAAACCATTTGTAGGGGTAGCATGGTCAAATCAGTTGTAGGGTAGCATGGTCAAACCATTTGTAGGGTAGCATGGTCAAATCATTTGTAGGGTAGCATGGTCAAACCATTTGTAGGGTAGCATGGTCAAATCAGTTGTAGGGTAGCATGGTCAAACCATTTGTAGGGGTAGCATGGTCAAATCATTTGTAGGGTAGCATGGTCAAACCATTTGTAGGGTAGCATGGTCAAACCATTTGTAGGGTAGCATGGTCAAACCATTTGTAGGTTAGCATGGTCAAACCATTTATAGGGTAGCATGGTCAAACCATTTGTAGGGTAGCATGGTCAAACCATTTGTAGGGTAGCATGGTCAAACCATTTGTAGGTTAGCATGGTCAAACCATTTGTAGGTTAGCATGGTCAAATGATTTGTAGGGTAACATGGTCAAACTATTTGTAGGGTAGCATGGTCAAACCATTTGTATTCATTTTGAGGTCATGGGTTGATTTTCAAGCTGGGTCCTCAAGGGTGAATGTTTTCATGCAGCCCATTAAGATTGTCATTGTAGCTTTGAAGTTTTTACTTTGATCCACTTTGAGCAGGCTGCCCTCTGTTCAGTGGAAACAGAGGTAGCTATATGGCTTTAAAACCTATTGCAATAAGCCAGTTTACTTCTCACTTTTAAATATTGTTAAAATAAAGTTGTTTGCATGGAAGAATAGACTGTGAGCTGTGTGACATATAATGGCACAGCAGGACAGTGAATGAATGAATGAATATATTTGCTGAAGATATACATGTTATAAGAATGGTAAGATACATTCTTTGCCAGTTTTATACACTTTTTTTGACGTACGTCATAGCCAACTCTTGAATGTCATTTCAGGCAGCTGACAGAGAACTATATACCACATGGCAAGAAAGTTGTGAAACACGTGGCCAATAATGGTGGACTTCTGACATTCCAAAGAAGATGGCGTCAACATTTCCTAGACACTATGAATCCACAGTATTTGCCAGACTTTTGGTCTGTTGAATTCGTTCAGGAAGCTTGGAGTCACAGTCAACCGGCATGAAAACATACCATTACCTATCAGTTGTAGATTTATTTGTGCAATTTTATTTGTATACGTTATCTGTTATTTTGTTTATGATTATGAATGATGAGAACACCTGGGACATATACAGAAAGTTTAATGATGTTTTTACAGAAATTAACCCATGAAGAGACTCTTACTTGAGAAATGTTTTTACTTCCTCTAGACAGTTCTCTTATGAGTTAGTTTTGCCAAGGCATCATTATACCTTTTTATGACTATTGTGTTCTTATTCATCTTCATAAAATAAACAACAGAAAACATGCATATATAAAATTGTACAAGAGAATACTTGTTCTTCTTCTGCGCTCATCCGAAGTTGTAATTGCATTGTGCCCTTTTACAGCATGGCTGCAATTTTTTGCACCTTTTGGCTGACAAATCAAACTTCTGCAGACATTTATTGACCAGACTAGCCTCCCGGGCAAGTGAATGCAGTTATAAAATAACAAACTTTTTTGGTCAGCTGAATTTGATTCAGAAGCTCAGGGTCACAATTATCCTGTGTTAAAACACACCGCCACTAAACAATTGTAATTCACTTTATGATGTTCTGAAAGAACTCACAAAAACTGATTCCCTAAATTACAAAGGACAATCCACATTCTTTGGTACATTCAGATTATAACTAGAATGTCCAAAGGGTCAAATGAGATAGAGAAGGACCAGGAAATATGCGGAGAAGAGAATTAGAAACAAAAATGGGGAATACACAGAGAAAGCTGCAAGTGATTAGTAGTAGTACATTTTACCCCACTAGGACATCACACAAGTGTTAAACACCCGATGAAGTGCCACCATGTGGATGAGGATCACTCGTGGAGAGGCGCGGAAACCGCACTCAGCCATTAGGCCATATTTATGACCGGGCTATATTGCGGCCCCTGGCAACAGCCAGGGTGGGGTTTCAGAATAACGAAAAATTGCATCCCACAAGGGGGTGTCTAGTTTTTAGCACATGCAAGTGATGACGAAAGTGTTATTATGATTGGTTAAGGATCTGAGCTCCAGTGGGGATGAAGAATTATGTTTATGTATACAAACACGTAAACATTAATTTGATGTAAATTTATATCCATGCATATGTGTGTGTATGCACACACATATATTACTGTTTATTATTACACATTGATGTAAGTTAAATTGTTGAATATTTTTAATGGGCAAACATTTGTCTCTTTCTCGTTTAATCACTTCCCGTCCTTTTTAGGACGAAATTTTTTGTTACTTGAAGCCCTACTCTGGCTCTTGCCAGGGGCCACAATATAACCTGGCCATAAATATGGCCTAGGGGCTGAACACGGTTTCTGTGACCTTTCCACGTGTGCTGGTGGGGTAGAAAGTCAGTCAGTCAGTCAATGGGCAAACTTTCAAGTTAGGAGAATGTGTATCTCAAAACAACAATATTTGTCTGTGTAAAACACACCATATTAAATTACAATTTTATTAGATGACATATCTTACATTTGTAAATAAGGTTTGACCACCCTGAGATTTCACAATGGGTAGCAGACCGGCAGGCAAATCCCAGGTACCCCCTTCTTCTTCTCTTCTTTCCTTTACTCCTGGTATACCTTGCAGCATCAGGGCAGGAAGAGATCTTCTGTTTGCTTCGTTTTTAAAAAAAGTACTTCTCCGTGTCTCTGTTATTTCGGCGGTCCATATTCTGCGCAGTCAACCTTTAGTTATGTTACCACTGTATCTGTATAACATTGCTCTCTGTTCAACCCCATTCAACCCCCAAAAAAGTTATAATCAGGGGCACCTATAACGGTTACAGGTGTTAATTCTATTAAGAGCGTTTTGATTTCGAGACCTCATTGTCTGCCAACGGACAGTAGGGGAGATAATACAATTATTTTCAAGCACTGTTATGGTCAGTAAAATTTTGTAATAAAAAAAATAAAAATACAGTGGTTAAATCCCTTGCCTGAAGTTGTTTTGTCCACACCATTTCAATACGTTCTACAGCCAAGTCTACCTTTCACACTAGAAACTTGTTCTTACTTTTCTGGGCTATAACAGTAGTTCCTTCTTTTCATCTTTTCTAGCGGGGTTGCTATCTGAACGTTTGACCGCCCTGACATTTCATAAATCGGTTTCTGGATGGCCAGTCAACAACTCAGATTCCAGCTACCCCATTAAGCTTTCAGAAAAGCTGTAATTGAGGCACTCGTAATAATGTGACCAGCCTTATGTAGCTTACAGTCATGTGCAAGCTTACTTCACCAGTCTGCTATCCTACAAGTCCAGCATTCAATCCCCAGCTGAGAAACTTGGCTAATCATCACTCTATCCTTTATATCAACATATGAACACCGACCAGGGCTGCCCTCTTGGGCTTGCTGGGCATTTGCTTGGGGGCCTCATGCTAATTTGTGTATGTAAAGTGACTTATTAATAAAAATATATTTAAATTTTGAATTGATTGTTTTTATAATATAAAACCGAAATTATTTTTCCCCTTCTCTCTCTCTCTCTCTCTCTCTCTCTCTCTCTCTCTCTCTCTCTCTCTCTCTCTCTCTCTCTCTCTCTCTCTCTCTCCCTCTCTCTCTAACACTCTCTCTCTCTCTCTTATGCAAACATAAATGTTGCTTCTACTCATTGGTGGAATCTTTTGACATCATCTGTATATATATATATATATATATAAATAGCGCCAGTTCTGGTGAAGTACCAGTAATATATATATATATATATATATATATATATAGACCATTTAAATGTCATTTCTCTGAATGATTGTCATAGGGGTCCTAGTATGCTGGTTCGTCCGGGGGCCCAAAATACTGTTAAAATGGCCCTGGTGCTGACAAGTGCTTTTATTTTACAGCAGGGTAGAAGATGAGAGACAGGTACTGCAGGCATGTCAGACCAGTGTGCCGCACACAGCCCCTTGCAAGCACACCTGCGGCTCACACAAAGGAAATATTCTGCAGTAAATTTTTATTAAATTGCTCCAGTTAGTTGCTGTTCGTGACACATGACAACAAAAGTTGACCCATTTTTCCCTTACAGGAACCTCATGAAACAAAAGTTGAACCATTTAGCCCTCACGGGACCCTCATGACAACCAAAGTTGACCTGTTTTGCCTTCATAGGACCCTCGTACACCAAAGTTGACCCATTTTGCCGTCACGGAACCCTCATTACAACCAAAGTTGACCTGTTTTGCCTTCACAGAACTCTCATGACAACCAAAGTTGACCCATTTTGCCCTTACTGGACCCTCATGACAACCAAAGTTGACCAATTTTGCCCTCATGGGACCCTCATGCCTGCAGAGATATGTCGGCCGAAAGGTGCACATATCACAGCCATGCTGTGAACAACGCACAGCGCTGTTATATCCTCGGATGAATGCTGAAGAAGAACTGTACTGGTATACTCTTGCGTGTTCCACATGCCGAGCCAAAAGGACGTACAGCTTCCCTTCATTGAGTTGAGACCGTAATGGCCCCTCTCATTTCCAGTACATCAGAGGATCATACAAGCAGATACATTTTTTTTCTTCGATATTAATTGTACATTTATTTGTTAGTTGAGGATCCAACACCACTACTGACTGGACGCCCAATAATTTCTCCTGTGCTACTGGAAATCACGCAGAAGTCCTTCACCGTCCAATTTAAAAACCAATGAAAAACTTGTCGGTCCCAGCAAAATCTTAAAGCTTGCACATGCAAACTAAATCTGCACAAGGCAGCTATCAGCTGTGCCAACACTAACGTTCTCACACCAGAATTGCAGCACAATTATGGCACAAACGTTCGACTACAAAAGCCGACATCGCACTCACAAAAATACACCCACTTTTTTTTCTCTTCATTTTACTGCATTCAACAACATGCTGCCGGTACAACAGAAAAAGAAAGGGGGGAAAAACATTCTACATGAAATCAACAACTTACAGTATCGCACCAAGCACTCAAGTCAGTAGCTGGATGACACATTTTGAATGCCCACATTTGTCTGGCATCTGGATCTATTAGATTTAGCAGCAACGTTGCACATCTACTTTTTGACATCGACGTTTTTTGTTAAGAGAAACGATGGCCTAAGAAGTTTACCGAATTCTAGAGCCACAGATTATCAAGATACCGCATCCCTTCTTAAAATACCGTTACACGACAGATAAACATATTAGCGGACATATTAATCTGAATTTATGTCTGGAGATTTTAGATGGATATTGTATTTGTATTTCGTCCAAAAATTTAACCCACGAATGTTAACTTGCTCTCTCTCCTTATCTCTCCCTCCTTATCTCTCTATCTCTCTCTCTCCACTCACTCTTTTTCTGTTCTCCCCTCCCTTTCTCTCTCTCTCCTTTCTCTCTCTCTCTCTCCTTTCCCTCTCTTCCTCCACTCTCCGTCTCTTTCATTTCCCTTCTCTTCCCCCTCTCCCTCTCACACACCATAAGTCGTTTATGGTATCAGACTGTGTTATGGGATGCAGAGGTGCTGGTACGCCAGGACCAGGGTATGAACTGATACAGATCTATCTACACCTGTCCATGGTCATCCTGGAGACAGGTGCCTGCCCTGGGTCCTGGCCAACCTAGATAGAATCGTTTCCTTCGAGGTCAGACTGCATGTGACCAACAGTCTGCACACATATTTGCCAGATTTGTAAACATAATCTGCACTCAAGTTCAGACGTGGACGAACAACCAGTTTGCAGCCGGTGAGGGCAAACAGGATAAAAAAAAACTTAGTGTGTGAGAATGCGCTTTATATTTTTTTTTACAGGTTCGCATACAGGCATCCATTAATTGACTAACGGCAATGAAGAGCTCAGGGACCATAATCTGCTCCTTTTTGGTGCATGTCAAAGGTGGGACGACCATCTTTAAATTGCCACGGTAACGCCACTGCGTTCGTCTGCTCCGTGATGTCACTTGCTGAATGCTGTGTACATCCTTAACAACAATACTCACATGTTACAAGACAGTAGCGTGGTTATTGTAATGTCAGTTA